TAATTTTCTGAATAGACGAAGCCTGTCATTTTGAAATTGAATTCGAAAGAGAGCGACCAGAGGGGCGACCCACATCGCTATGAACAAAGTCCGGACCGGATTCTGTTTGATGAAGCCAATGTTGAACTTCTCCGGGCACGAGCTCACTATTCTAAATAGTCACAGATTGCGATTCCCTCTCGGTGCGTCTTTCGCGAAAATGCAAGGGCTCTAACGAGAGAATGCGAGTCAAAGTAAGTTTCACTACGAGCGCATCAAGCTCGGACCCCTCGATCATTCTCTGCTCAGAAATTCAGGGAAACGAGCGGTACTATGCGACTTCGGAATAGCGGAAGAGAGTTCTACTTTGCATTGAAGAACTCTAACTCGTCCAAATGTGGTCAAAATTGTACGTAGAAGACCTGGAGACGGCGCAAAGAGGTGCTAGCTCCCAGGTGTATATATCGCGCGACATATACCCACCATCCAGTGGCGTTCCTAGAGTGAAGGGCGCCCTGTGCGGTTCCTGAGAGAGGCGCCCCCGTTTATCTATGCTCGATATCTACGGGAAAAAGCACGTGTTCTCGACGACATATGAAGATGAAATGGATGCATCGAATGGCTTCTTTCCTCTCGTTCTTACTAGACATTATATTCATGCTCGGGACGACTATCCCTATCCGTCCTCGTCCTCCCTCTTTGATAGGAGCTTAAAGCTTTATAGACAAGCTTCCACAAATTGGCTCGTTTGGCTTTCGATCTAGCGAAAGACTCGATAACTTCTGTGTAATCTATTTTTTCGGCGATTTGATTCTCGATGGATAGAATTACTAGATTGCTCAAGCGCGATGAAGTCATCGTTGATCTCGAATATGTCTTGATCAAGTTGAGTTTCGAGGATGTCCGCTCGCAGCTAGCAGTGGTCAAGTACGTTCTCAACAAAATCGTTATATTCGGGACGCCATCTCCTGCGCTTGTAAACGTGCGCCGATGGCTGTGGTGTAAGTTTGTGGAACACGAATTGACAGCCAAGTCGCCGCTTGCATCAGACATTAGCAGCGATGAGGTGCGGCGGAAGAGCCTCATATGCTAGTTGATGATAACGAATCTTGCGGGCTGAACTATAAAGTCGGAAAAAGCGCCCCTGGAACGATGGCGCCCGGTGCGGTCGGCACGCACCGCCCTCCCCCTCCATCGGTACGCTACTGCCACCATCGCATTCTTCATCATTGCTACCGTGGGCGAAATCGAAGAATGGGGAAGCTCGTGAGGGAGACGGGATCATGCGGATAGCCCGAGGAGGAGTCGCCGGTAGGAAATTGGTTTCAGAACTATACTCCAGTGACAGAGGTACGCCATCCCAATGACGCCGCGCGGTTAAGGGTCTAACAGGGATGATTTCATGTGCCTGGAAACAACGTCGAGACTCAAATAGACTTTGTCGGTTTAGGGGAACAGGCTCTGGTGTATCAGTGATTCATTTCAAAGACAGGTCTCAGCTCCGGGGTTCTGCGTTGCCAATATTTCCAGATTCCTCCCCAGATCGGGGGAATCCTCACCGTGGCGAGGCCCGAAGCGAGCCTCTCAGGGACGAGCTCAACCCGCATTCCAAAGCTCCGACCTTTCGGGTCCCTTCACCGCTCTTTGAAATATGAAACGTCCGAGGACTCGACTTGCGGTTGGAGAGATCTGAACAGAGAATCCGAATGCCGATATCGACAATGGAGGAATCGCAAGGGGGCTCAAAGATTCTTACATGAATCTCAAGTATCTCTCCGGTAAATCGCACGATTCCTTGATGTGGCACGTGGAGCAAGAACGCAATGCCTAAAGGTCAGCATGGAGCCGATCGGATTCTGTATGACCGTGGTGCCGAAATGTCCCTCGGGGGTCTAACAATCGTGTGTCCCATTCCGTCGGAGCTTAAGCGAGGTCTCGAAGTCCCGGCGAGGGACGGAAGAAGTGAAATTTCAGTCGCCCGTGAACCTCTGATGAAAGCTCCGCGCTGTCTGTGTATATGATGGTTTGACGTGATAGGGGATTCTCATAGATTCCCCCCAAGAGAATATAATATGGGACCATCGCTGGTCTCGAAAACTGTGAATGGATCTCCACGTTAAGTTTCGCTAGATTCCGGAGAGCGCCACCTGATGCGGACGGTCGTGGATCGTGACGTCTTCGCGCCAGGATTCTTTGTTGGTACTTTCAAGCAGAAAACGGAATCCCCTCGATTTGGACGGAAGTGCCGAGAACGGCGTCGACTGGTATGCCAAGAAGTAGGCTAACGATGTTCTCCGAGCCGTAGAAAGTTTCAAGGACCAAGCTGGGGCTTTCAAGAAGAAGCTGATGAGTTATCTGCGTCAAAATGAAACGAAGGTGGCTTCGATCCTGTTCTTGAACATTCTCACGATGCGGCATCGGGACAGTCGCTCTCATGAGAATATATCCGTGGAAGGAATCGATGGATCAAGCGGACGAGTACAGAAATCATCGGCTTCGACCGATCCAACATTTGAGAGGTCTGGAAATCGAAATTACCTACGATTCTGAGCATACAGAACTCATCTGGGTTTTCTCCACAAGCACAGAGAGGGCACGATGCCGACGGTGTGAGGGAATCATGTCTCGAGCGAGAGACTTGATCATCCAAAAATGGATTCCCCACAGTTTAGACCGCTCTGGCTCTGTGCGTGGCGGAAAGCCGGCACCGATACGCCAGATATTGAATTTCCGAGTCTCCACGGAATTCTGTTCGACTCAAGCCAAAACTGCTCAACGGTCCTCTGCTCGCAGATTCCGCCGGTCATTGAATAGGGGTGTTGAGGGAATACGCTCTGTTCCGAGCGATTTTTGGTGAACTATCATTTCTTAAACCAACGGATTAAGAGAGGACACTGAGGAATCGAGCACGCCCGCGTTCCCTGTCGGCGATGTGCCGCGAAAGAAGTCTGACGTCGTTTCAGGGGAATAAAATCAGAACCCCATATGGTGTCGGAACTCCTTAATGAGATATTTAGCCTCAATTTTCTCCGAGGGGCGCGGGGGAGCCAGTGCTCAGAATTTTATCGTGCCTCGGCTCGGCCTAAATGTTGCTTGAGTTTTGACGGAATCGGCGTGGGACAAGTCGTGAACCCCTCTCTCACTCAGTAGACCGATCTCAGAACGTGATTGGTGAATTCTCTCGAGTCCAGGAAGAGCTGGGAAAGTCCCTCCCGACTCTGAAAGGAGCTCCTCCCGCTCCCCCACGTTGGGAAGCGGGACCAAGCTCTCCTTGCAGGACGTGCCAAGGAAGCGTCTATGCAGCGGCACGCGACTCTGAATGTGGAAAAAGTATAAAATCGAGGATCCGATGGAAAGGAAAAGGTTTATGAATCCTTCTATCCCGATGACTCGCTAGCAGACTCGAACCTCAACACCTGTATGCATCGTGTCCAGGGTGAATGCGACCTGTGTGAAAGTTTGAGAAAGTTCTCGGCGGGCTCTCCACGGCCAGACGCTCCTGAACGTCGAATCCTCGAGAGTCCACACTCAATCAACGGCTGAGCTTCTTCGCTATGACCAATGACTGCGCAAGTTTCTTGCCTAGGACTCCGCTCGCCGTCACGGAGATTTCGGAGAAGTGAGCTAGACTTCGAGGGGATGTATTTTCCGATTTATTCCCGAATAAGGATTCGGGAACTCTCCACGATGGACTTTGAGCTCCCGGAGGAGCTCCCCATCATCGGCCGAGGCTCTTTTCAAGCTCGGTAATATTGAGGAGAATCTGTCCGGCGTACTCTAATCGGTGAAAGGCGGTGAAAGGTACTAAGCGATACGAGAGGCAAGGATGCTCCAAGTTTAGGCAAATCGTGATCCGCTCCGATTTGATGAAAAGCAGAACTTCAGCGAAACGTCCGCCTTTCATTCATGGATTTTTTCCGGGAATACGATAGGCTGAACAGGGATTATTCTGTCCCGAAGAACCCCCTAGTATCTCTCGACGCCCTCGACCGATTCACTTCGCTCGCCCCGATTGAGAATCAATGCGTCGAGTATTTTCCCTGTCCGGATCGCTTGGATCCAAGCATCGCGGCAATCTTCTGAAGCGTTCCCCAGTTTTAAGGGCAGGTCCCCCAGCGATGATCTTCATGCCTTGGCTGGCTGCTTGCTTGCTTGGTTAACCGAGCGAGCTGCCGGCTGGAGTAGCATAGAGTGTGAGCTGACTGATGTAGGTGGCGCTCACCAGCGAGAGAGGACCGATTGAGGGAGGGTAGCGCTTTAGAGACCGGCGATTCCAACGTGCCGTCTCGAGCGTGAGCCTCAGTTCATGTCAATTCTAACTCCAGAGCGAACCGGCGACTCTTCCCCCAGTACAGAGGCCAAGAAGTACCGCAAACGTCTCTTTGTCCTCAATCACCGACTGCGCAGAGAAAACACCGGTCGGCGAACTCAAGCTCCGGGATCGAATATTTATCGAGAAACACTTGGTGATACTGTTCGTCGGGTCGTGGTGGCATCCCCCTGACAGTTTCGCCCGGAGGATAAATCGGCCTCCATATCGGAGAATCTCATAGCATCGGTCAGCCGGAAGCATGGATGTTCAGTGAAAAAGTGCCGCCACAGAAACGGAAACGTGAGATTAGCGACAGCGGAACTCGACGAGGTGTCCGTGGAGGAGAATACCTCCAATTCGAGGTGCCAGTTTTCGGAAAAATAAGGCCGACTCAAAGTGAGCCCGACGCGACAGGATGAACTTCGGCAATTAGACAGAGTGGATTGAAGCGTATTCTCTGCTCAGTCGAGTGCGTGTACCTGTGCGACCAGTGTGGACTACAGCTGCAGTGTTGTACACGGCAGCTGCCGCAGCAGAAATTTTCTGAAGTGAAACGATGCCGCTGTCGTTGCCGAAAGATCCGCGAGGACTCGGTTCATTTCGCTGAAGATGTTTGTGATAGTAATGATGCTGTCGTCGATATCATTGTCGTCGCCGTCGAAATTGTTGTGAGCGCATCATGCGACTGTTTCGGAGTACATTGTGGCTCCTCGTGAGCCTCATTCCTCTCAGTGCGGCCGTGTTCCGAGACCACAGACAAAGTAAGTAGGGGAATTTCTTGGAATAAGACCTGCTTCCCCGAGTGACTTACCTCGGATTTCAAAACCCGCGGCGTTCTCGATCGCCTCCCTCTCTGTCGGTCGATGCGCAGAACACCGTTCGGGCGTAGAGAAGAAGATCTCGGCGGAGTGTCGATGCACTGGAACGACGACGAGCTTTGCAACACACGTGTGTCATTCGTTATCAGCACACCGACGACCTACTGATTGACGACTCGAGAAGTCGCTCCGATTTTTTAGTCATCTGAATTCGATTGGGTATAGTCCCTTTCTTACGAAAGAGGCAAGCTCGATAGCGATGTCTCCCAGTGACGAATATTGATGACGCGCCAATAGATATTCAGCCATTTGGTTCTGGGCTCGAAAAGTTCAGAATGATCCGAAAACTTCATACTAAGCTCTCTCCAGGTTTCCAAAGCCTGGAGTTTCGACGCAAGTCTCGAGGAAGAATTTCGAGAAACCACGCTGCGAGCATTTTCGAGCCTGCATCCCAGGTATAAGGGCAGTTGTCGAGCCTCTGGTCATGATTTGCCCAACAATCGCCTTTTTCCACAATCGTTATTATCAGGAGCTGTCGTGCAGGTGGTGCAACTATTCTGTTTTTTGTTCCTGCAACGGATGAGCTTCATGAACAATCGACCGAGACCGGCTCTGTTACGCCGTTCATTTGTCGCGAGTTAGCAACTCTACGTGACGCGCGTTTTTCGGTGATCATTGGCAGCAGCGGCGAATCAACGCTCAAATCACTAGCGGCCGAAGTCACGCTGCGTTATTCCGACGAGACAAAAAAAACATGACCGATGACCAGTGCTGGCATGCCCGTCGTTGACGTTACGCGATAGAGTGTTTTTTGAGAAGAACGAACACTGAAAGACGGATAAACGCGACCGGAGACAATGAAACGCGATCCAATTTCGCTTCCAACTGCTCGGCTCCGTGTAACCAGCGCCGCCGTGATCCTTTCGGATAGAGAGCAAATCGAAGCACCGCGGTTTCGGAAAAAAAAGACGATCTGTCGTGATAGCTGAATGGATGGTTCAATATTGTGAGCAAAGATCATCGCTCCGAACGAATTACCCGCGCAGTCCGTCGTAATAGCGAGACATTTGTCTCGAGAGCGCGTGCTTGGAGCGCTCCGCTACCACCTGTAACGTGGCCGCCAATGCAGTCGTTGAGATCACTATCAGAAATTACAAATTGAACACGGCCATACCACCGGTCGCGAGAGAAGAAACAGACAAGGTATCTCCCGACGAGAGTACCGTCGACCGGCCGGCGGGCAGGATCATGTAGGCGTATCACAAGCGGGATCACAATTCCGTTACAGAGAGTCGTAATGAGCTCGCATCAGTATTGAGCAGCCTCCAGCTACTGAAGCGTACTCGTTCCGTCGGTCGGGCGAGCCGGGCTCGCCGGAGCACGTTGGCCGTGATTTTACGTGCGAGCCTGGGACGTGTGTTTGCGAATAATGACCATACTCCGAAATATCTCTACGCTGCGACGTGCGACAAAATTTTGTTTTTGATGATCAACTCGTCAAGTTACCTCCTGTCTCATGGAGTTGGATGCGCCTCTGGGATCCGGCCGTATATTTTTTCCCTGTCCGGCTCACTCGCCGACCGACTGGCACGAAGGCCAGCCGGCTGGCTGCTCGAGTCCGCTGAAGTGGAATGCGGATGATCTGAGCTCCTCTCATGCTTCTACCTCTGATGACGCGATGCCCAGAGGGCCCGCCGTCGTCTTCAACGGAGCATCTCTCCGATGCAAGTCTCACAACGGACTCGATCTCAAACTTGAGTGACGTGTCCTAGAGGAAGCGGGTTACTCCATCTCTCCCGGTCTCTTTCTCAAGTCAGAGTTTTTTGTCTCCAAAATTCTATCGTCCTTGAGAAAGATTACGCATTCAAACGGCGAACATGGCGTCTTTCGAGACGAGAGATCGACAGTGGATCTACTTGATTAAGACCTCCACGCTGAGCTCGCAATCTGAGAGGCTCAATGAGTCATAGTATGACGATGATCAGCCACCTATCCGAAACTTCATCGAGGGGTCCATGAATCATGGAGTTGGATGAATGATTTGGATAATTCAACATCGCTCAGGGTTCTCTGGTTTCTTGCTCAGTCGATGACGATCTCATTCCAAGGCTGCGAACGATCTCCTCGAAGAAAACTTCCATTTTGCCAATGTCCCCTGGTCGATCTTGTTCAGATGGGAGGGATTCACCGACGCAGCTTCGCTGCGAACTCGCACCGTGGCCTACGATCGGTCTCCTCGGTGGACCAATCTTGGGGAGCCGGGGAAAACCTCCGAGCGAAACATCGAAGGAGAGGACGGAAACAATGGAAGGAACTCGTTGATTGAAGGTTCACGAGCGGAGTACCGATTGTTATTCACCATGAGCCCGGGAACGAGTCAATGTAGTAAGTGTGCATCTCAAACCCCGGATTGCGTCCGGAGCTCGAAGAATCAGGAGGAACGATCGGGCCCTCGGGCTTTGGCGACGAGTTGACCGCGGACGTTTCGTAGTTTGTCGAACTTCCCTCTTCCTCCGAGCCGTCGGCAGCGCTACTGGAGCGGCGAGAGCGCTAACAAGACCCAGGGCCGGGGAAAGGCATTTCAAAAAGCGTTGAGCAGACACACAGGCAGAGCAGCATTTAAGTGTCCCTCATGCCCCAATCACGTCTTCCCGACGAGAAGAGAAGTGGACGCCGGGGCCGCCGCGACAGACCGAGTCGACACTTAAGCCGCCAAGTCTGCGGCTCTGCACGAAAAACGCGGAGAGTGGGGTAAGAAGGCGATGGTATTTAGTTTGCGTGTTAAAAATTAACTGGATGTCGTATTTTGTTTCTGCTGTGGAGGTCTGGGCTCCGCTTCCTCTCTGAGTCCCCATCGGTTGCAACTGTGCTCTTGACATCCTAGCTTCATTGCAGCCGCCAATAGCGAAGGCCGGCAATCGAATGTCGATTAAAGGGACCAGGGAGAAAAACGGAGAGGGTATGTGTGGTGTGGGGAATTGACCGGAGCTCCAAATCACGTCGGCTTCTTACTCCGTTTTTGGGATTCTGTACCGCAGCGTGTTCTGAAGTGACTTCGTGTCGCTCTGCTCCCTGCGGACTTCATCAATAACAAAAAAAGTGTACTTCGACTTCGGGCCCTCATGAGGTAGTTGTTGTTGATGCCTTGACCGTTGTCGTAGGACCTCTAGCAACTTGCCCTTTGAGGGAGTCGTTCTAGGGATGACTTCTTCCCTTATCCCATGCCCGATAACTTCGCTCACGTAACTTGATTCGAAGCTTCCGAAGTTATCTCAGTGTGCTATCCGCTCTCGTCCCTGGGGGCTTTCACTGATTTCAAAGAAAGCGGCTTCTTGTTTGCCAGTATGGGGACAGGGTCGTTGGACGATCTCGACTCGGAGGCGAGCCGGACCTCGCGTGGTCGAAGTGCTTTTCAGAATTTACATCGAGTTACAGGATTTGATTCAAGACCAGCTCTCTCGTACCTCTGGGAGCGGATCCCGTTCACGATTCGGAGATGAGCAGAAAATAAATAACGGCTTCCCGGCGCAGAGAGCGAAAATACTGCGGGGAATGACCACGTATCAGGGCATGGTTGGTACGGGTCTTATTGCTGCTTCTGTTCCTACTGACTAGATCGACGGTCGAAAGCTGAGGCTCGAAGGAGCGTGATATAGTTTCTTTCTGTGGCTCGTCACTTATTCATCAACGGCAAGAAATATATGGACCAAACTACGGAGCCCTGAAGTCGTCGACGAGGGAACGGACTAGCAGACGCAAGCCCACCGGCCGGGGGAAAACCACTCTGAAGCGTAATCGAGTTATTTCCACTGGGGCTTCACTCCGAGTCGCCAATGAGAAATTATCGCTTTGTACCATCCTACAAGGCGACGAAGGCTCGGGACGCACCCACAGAAGCATTGGCGGTCATACGACGAGCTCTCGTGATGGAGTTTTTTTGCTCTTGTCGACGACATTCCAATCGATTCATGCAGATGGTTGAAGCTCCGACCCATCGTCGGTCCATTCGATTTGTCAGGATTGATGGATTCGAGTAAAACTCTGCGTAATCCTGAATCGTTCGAGATTCCACTGACCATATTTTTTAATGAACAAGTATACCGCGGAATCGGACTCGTCGATTTGAGGGTTCCTCTTTCTATCGGCGCAAAGAGCGAGCTTGAACTCTTCCGAATGCTTCGGCTAGCCTCCATTCTATAGTTGGGCGTTTTTCAAGAGTTTGGACGTAAATGTGAGCCGGACGCACATTTTCTCCCGATGGAACTCCATGGAGGAGGTATTGCGAAAGTGCGACTTGAAAAAAATAATTCCAGCTTCTCTCAAGGCCGGGCAGCCCGGATGGGTCGTTCGCTCAGTCCCGACCTCCTCGGTCTCGAAAATGCGTGGATTTTCTCGAAACAGTTATGTTCCATGTAATTGTGGCTCAGAATTCCATCGTCCAGGTGTGCGCGGTCGGAGGAAGTTTACGTTGGCGTTCATTTTTTTCGCGATCATATCGGCGTCACACGGTAAGGGAACCGGAACGATTATTCTCTGGCCCGCTTGGACATGTGGGAGTCTCGCCTCATCCATCGGATCGGGTGCTGAATTCTGATTCTCCGTCCTCTCATAGAGGTATCGACGGACAAAGCGGCGGGATACCCCATCGGAATACTCGAGACTCACGCCTTGCGGAAAGAGAGCTCCTCGTGGAGAGATTCGCCATCAACACCAGTTTCCCGCTCAGAGCACCGTGCGAATAGACAGCCTAGCGTACGAGACACCTGTAGAAAAGAACCCGTATCACATTCGATTCCGTATGAGAAGAGTTCGTTTCTCCGCACAAATTCGTTTCGCCCAGGTTCGTCGTCCAGAAGCTCCGTCGTACGCGGGGAAGTATAACAGAGAGTTCCCCACCGCTGGGGGGAATATTCTATCGATCGGGGGATACCTGTTCGACTCGG